CTGCACCTGGCAGGAGAAGTTTTGAGTTAGAAAACCTAGAATATAAATTGGTGATTTCCTTAACTCCCCAGATTACCTGGAAATTACTTGAAAGATCAATCCCATTGTTTGGTTTAATTTACTTTTATACAAATCCCGTTGGATGAATATGAAGAGATATGTTTCTGGTTATAATTTTGAAATTAAAATTTCAAAATATTAATAGAATTATTTCCAAGGGTCCCTTTTTCTAAATAATAGTCTCACATGGTGACTTAAAAATAAATTACCACTGGGTAGTACCATGTGGCTTTTTCATGTGTGTTATACCATTTAAACCTCAAGTGGAAGTTGTTAACACAGATTGGGAAATTGAAGCACAGAAAAGGCAAACGATATGCTCAAATAACATCGCAGGTACTGAATTCCCAGTGTCCTGCTCCTGCTCCTCCTCCTTGGCCTCTGTCTCTCTATACTGAATGTTGCCTGCTGATAACCTGACTTTTATGGAGGTGCAGATAGCAGTTCTTAGAACGCTTCAGGAGTCCTATGTTTTGAAATTTTTACAAGTCTCAGGTTTTTGCTTTTATGTTAATGTATATTTTGTATTCTCCATTTCTTCGTGTTGTTTTCTTATTTTGAGATACAAATAATGTTTTAAATAACCTATCTTTTGTTAAAATTGCTTTAAAAAGAACCACCATGCTGATATCATGGCGTGAACATAGCCCTGGCCCTGCTGTATACTTGCTGCAGTAGTGGTTTTCAATGGATTTGGGGTGAGGGTGTGGTTTTGTCTCCCTTGGGACCTTTGGCAATGTCTGAAGACAGTGTTGACTGTCATGCTTGGGGGAAGGAATAGAATCTAGTGGGTAGAGGCCGGAGATATTGCTAAACATCCTACAATGACCAGAATAGCTCCCCACAAGTTATCAGCTCTTTGAGGATATACCACAAATTATCCAGCCCCAAAGGTCAATAGTGTACAAAAGGAGAAACTGTGTTAGAGGTATCTGGACCACATCTGAAGAATCACAGTCCTGCAGGCTGTAATACAAGTAGCACAGCAGCATTTCCTATCTCTCTAATGATTGCACCCAGCCTTTGCAGCCTTACCTTTCCCCACACTCCACAGGGACATCTTTGTCTACTCACACTGGGTTGCTGGGGAGGTCCTGATCATGTCTCATAACGTTCTTTGTTGCATGCTGTGCTGTTACTGTGCCCTTTACTAGATAACTTTATTTTTCCCTCTTCTTTTTTCATCCCCATCTCTCTACTGGTAACTTGCTATCAAATTCTTTACACCCATCCTTCAAATTCCAGCTCTTATTCCTTTTCTAATCCTTCTGTAGCTCAAAAATGTCCTTCCCCTGAGCCAGAGTCTACAACATATCTGTGTCTTTCTCATAAGCACACTACAGTTTTCCTTGTAATTATTTGTCTGTGTTTGTCTCTCTTGCTGGATAGTAGGCTCCTTTTGCTGAGGGCATTAGTTTTTCATGTCCCCAGACCCACGGCCTCAGCATCACCAGGGACTTTTTAGGAAGGGAATTCTCAGCTCCTACCCCATACCTACTGATTTAGAGACTCTGGTAGTTTGATACAACATCTGTCTGCATTTTTATAAGCCTTTTGTGTGACTCTGATGGTTTCTTAAGTTTGAGAATCAATAATTTGGGGTAGCTGAATTTTGTTTATACTATTATTTGAGGCGCATAGTAGATATTTATTCCCTGTTGAGTAAGTGATCTGTTAAATTATGGGCCAAAGGTAACTAGGAAATCAAATCACTCCATTGACCAAATATTACGAAAAGATTCAGATATAGTTATAGAAAAATTGGAGGAGTCAGAAATCAATCAGGAATAGCCAAATAAGAAAGTCACCTTCATTTATGTTGATTATCTTATTGTTTATAGTTATATGTCTGTCTTTCCTTGACCAAATTTAGACATTTTATTAGAAAATCATGGATTTAACTTTAGAATATTTATTTTTATCTAAATATAGGATGTTTAAAAATGCTGACAATTCAAAAAACTAAAAATAGGACCAACACATGATCAAGCAGTCCCACTTGAGTGTGTGTGTGTGTGTGTGTGTATGTGTATGTATGTATGTATGGATATATATATATATATATATATATATATATATATCTCCAAAGGAAATGAAATCCAGTAAGTCAAAGACCTCTATCTGCATTCCCATGTTTGCTGCAACATTATTAACAATACACATAAAAATGGAAATGATCTAAGTATCCAGCAACTTACCAGTGGAAAAAGAAAATGTGGTATGCATATATAGTGAAATACTATTCAGCCCTGAATGGATGGAATTCTGTTGTTTGTGACAAGAGTGCAATTAAAGATGGTTATGTTCAGTGAAATAAGCCAGGAACAGAACAGCAAGTACCATGTGTTCTGTCAGATGTGAAATACACAAAAGTTGATCTTATAGAAGTAGAGAATAGAATAGTGGTTACCAGAGCTGGGGTTTGGGGGAATTGATCAATGGGTACGAAGTTAAAGTTAGGAGCAAGAAGTTCTGGTGTGCTACTATACTGTAGGGTAACTGTAGGCAACAGTAATTGACATTTCAAAAAGCCAGGAGGAAGGATTTTGAATATTTCTATCATAAAGAAGTGGTAAGGCTTAGAGGAGATAGACATGTTTACCTTGATCTGAACATTTCACAATGTATACATGCATTTAAACATCACATAAATATGTGCAGTTTTCATGTAGCAGTTAAAAATCAATTTTAAGTAGAAAATCCTAATGATTAACTTTACTTCAAAAGAATGAAATTTATGAGATGCTAGGATGTATTAGCATGGCCTGATAAGTGTTTTCCTTGAGAGTCATTTTCTGGATTCCTTAATAAAACAAAAAAAAAATTATGCTGCCTAAATCATACAGGCAGAACCAGAGTTCCCCTCCTGGACCTTGAAGTTTCCAAAGTGTGGCGAACACTACCTTCTATGTATTATCAGCCAGTGGAACTATTTGGAAGTCATTGCAATTTAATACCTAGAAAACAAACAGTTGGAGTTTTATGTTTTTCTCCTTTCTTTTTCTACAAATTCTTCCTCCTTGCCCCTCTACCTCACAGGATGGGTGAGGATCTGATTTTGTTGGACATAGAAGTTGTATTAGAATAAGGGCCAACATTGTATGCTGAGCTCCCATAACCCCACCATTTAAGCCAGCTGCTGGGTCCTATGGGATTTCTCCCTAGAGGGAAGATGGCATTGTATTGTCTCTTCTATAAGTAGGTTTGGCGAAAGGAATAATAATAATGACAATAATACAGGCTGATGTTTTGGGAGCTTTTTGCCCATGCCAGACTCTAGAGAAAGTTCTTCACATGGGCTAGCTCACTTAATCCCCCAGGTCTAATGTGCCATCTAAAAGCCCTTTCTAATCATACCTGACAGTGTTTTCCAAAGCTTTTGTTTCATGGTACTTCGAAAAATGTGATACTTTTTTTTTTTATTGTTTAGAATCAAACTCCCTTGGGGGAATAAATATTTCAGCCTAATTTAGAGATTTACTCTTTGTCCATATTCATCTCAACTGGAGGAGGCTGTTGATACAAAAGTTGTCTTTCAGCAGGGTCAGAGGCTGGGCTGTAGCTGTGTCCCACCGCTGGGGATGACACACCCCTTGTGGTCCTCATGTGTGCAGGAGCTTTTCTGTGTTCCAGTCTTGGAGTCACAGATTTTCTTCCCGTTCTTTATATCTGCCCTCTTGGCCCAGGGCCATGCATGGAGTGTTCTCAGAGAGTTGACTTACCTGTGGCCAAGTGGTATGTGAGCACTCTTCTGGTAAAGACCAGAAGCTGTTCCTGGTTACCTGAAGCTCCTGAGCAGACAGGAAATAGATCACTAGATGACAGCAGCGTGGGCAGGAGTCAGGTGTATTATTAGTTGTGTGATGACTAGATAAACTCAAAAGATTTTTTCCAGCTCTGAACTTTTATTTATTACATGATATAAATTTTAGAAGTGCTTTCAAAAGGGTCTCTTAGAAGTTAACATTACATTCATTGGCCAGTGTTACCATATTACCTGAGTACACAAAAGCCCAGTGGTTCTAGTAGTAGTTTATAGGAACAAGAGAGTAAAGATTGATCAGAGACAGATGAAAAGAAGAGGGTTTGGGTTTAATGATATAAAGGAATTAGGCAGGTTCTTTCTACTTTGTTCTTTGATGTTTTATTTATACATTTATTTCGCCCCAGCATTATTGAGGTGTAATTGACAAATAATAATTATATATATTCAGTGTATAACAGGTGATGATTTGATGTACATATACCTTGTGAAATGATTACTAAAATCAAGTTAATTAACATAACTGTCATTTTTCTTTGTGGTGGGAACATTTCCTCTCTAAGCAAGTTTCACTTATGTATGCAGTGTTATTAACTATAGCCACTGTGCTGTACGCCAGATCCTCAGGACTTATTCATCTTGAAACTAAAAGTTATTTGTTGATTAAAAAAAAAAGAAGAAGGAAAAACTGAGAGACATCTCCTATTCCCTTCAAAATGACATTTCTTCTTCTACTTATATTTATTCCACCAGATCTTTTCTCTGGTGACTTCTAGTAGCATTGAATTCTGACAGTGTCACCCCAGAATTCCCTCATTTCTACTAACATTTTGCAGTGACTTATGAAGGGAATGGGGTGGTGAGAAGCCCAATAGATATACGCAGTAGAGGGGTGCTTTGCCTATAGAGAATCCAAATAATAATACCACTAAAAGTTGGTTTACTTCTGGGACCACCTTGCAGGGGCAGTGCTGAACAATATTGGTGACAGAACACTCCTCTTCATAGGGTGGACAGGTCCTACGGTGTCCCTCCAACCCTATGCTACTGCACTGCATTTGGTAAAGGGAGCCTACGTTTCAGACCTTTCTGTTTAGAATGCTATTCTCAAAATCTAATACAGACTTTTTTTTTCTTTCTTTCTTCTTTTTTTTTTTCTCCTTTTGTGTGTGTTTAGGCAAGGAAACAGTTACTGTTCTTCCGGGAGCCTCTTTTTTCTCCAGCGATGAGTCATTCGCAATGATTAGAGGGTATGTAATAACGGAGCCCCTCATGTTTCGCACGGTGTGGAATGAACTGAGTCATCCCCTGAGCATGTGAGCAAGGCTCTGAGACAGCCCCACTTCTCAGCCAGAAAAACTACCAAGGCTTTCTTGGCTGCAAGAAGATATGAGATTATTCCCACTGAAGGCTGGGCATTGAAATATGCAGCCCACTGTTATGAAAAGAACCCCTAAAATGGAATATGTATCTTTGTGCCAATGAAATTGAAATAAACTTTTCTGAGGTTCTTTCTTAGGATCTCAACATTTTCTTCAAACTGTGTTTTTACTTTCTAGCTTTCATTTGCCTTCAAATTGAGTTACATTTTTCTTTCGCCAGAGGAAACAAATTCACTGTGCACACCTGTGTTTAGTTTGTTTTTGGAGACAATATAGGCTATAATTTTTTTTTTCAAAGAACTCTTAATGGTTATTTCTCTGCATCAGCTTAGAGCTAATCTATTTAGAAATCAGTTGTGGAGAAAGAAAAGGCAAATGTATTTTGGGGGCGGGGGGATAGAGTTATTTTAATTGCTGCAAATTCAAGCAAAGGAAATGTAAAGCTGTGAAATTTGCTTTATATGTCCTCTTTTTCTTTCTCAGGGGACATGTGGATCTAACAATGTTAGGAGCAATGCAGGTTTCCAAATATGGTGACCTGGCTAACTGGATGATACCTGTAAGTAGACACTTTTCTTTTTTTTCCTTTTGAATTATGCTTGGGTCAGAATAATTATTTTTCAAATATTGAGGGAAAGAAATCTCAAATTGCTACAAGAGTACAATATAATTGTTTTAAAAATGAATAAATATTTTATATATATTTCTTGTTGGAATCATACTTTTATTAAGCAGGCCCTGAGAAGTATTCCCGTGTCTCCAGTTTACTCTGTAGTTGAAACTAAAAATAGGCAAGGTCAGGGTCAAAGTAAAATTTTTTTTCTTTTAGAGAAAACAGAGTTGGGAAAGATTAAAAAAATATCGGGTTAATTATATTCTGATGAGACTAAGAAATAATAAATATTATTATAACTAACATTTTATAGTAGAAAAAACAACTAATAAGTTCATTAATTTTATGTTGATTCTGTTTTTTTATTCTTCACAATGATTAAAATCCTCTCTTGATTGGGCATGTGACCCCATAATAAATCAGTCACATTGTCTTCTATTATGGAATGCAAACTCTATGATGGTTAAACATACTTGTGAAATGTAGACAGTTTTTATGTAACATTAACCTAAATCAAAGAAGAAACCTCCTAAGAGTTAGTTTTGGAAATAGACTGCAATCAGTAACTTAATTCACAAGTGCTGTTCATTACATTCCAGGTTGTTGCTTTCAGATTACATGCATGGAGATGACAGTGGATGTGTGTCCATGATTATGAGCTCATTTTGGCTGGTAGCTTAGGTTTCTCTTTGTGTGTGTGTTTAAGGGTTTCTGTGGGTTTCTTAATAGCATCAGCTAAAAGGAATCTTGTTTTAAGTATCCAAGGCTGGCATTGTGTGATGTATCAGTTTTATTTTAAATCTCTGAGATTTTTTTTGTAGTAATTTTTTGAGGAAGGTAGATTAATATAGTTGATAACAATTTTAGTGATCATGGTAGTTTAGCTGTGTGGATCTAATAATCCCCAAAATATTATTGCAAAGTTTGAGTAATTACAAAACCCCTGATTCTCAAACTTGTTGCATATTGGAATCAATCACCTTGGAGATTTAAAAAATATTGAGGCCTGGATTCCAACCCCAGGCTTTCCAATTTAATTATTTGAGATGTATCCTGGGTACCAGGTGGTTTTCGAAAACCTAGATAATACCAGTATGTGAAGAAGTCTGGAAGCAAGAACGTTAGAGAATAATCACTATTCACTCATATTTAAAATAGAAGGGAAAAATACCAGGGACTCAACAGTCGTGAGAACCCTTAGGAAATCATGGATTATATTGCCATTTGAGTTATAAAAATATTGGTCCTAAAAATTGGTCATTCTAATTAAGCTATGATTTTATAAGGGTTGGCAGCTTTTGGAGTATTCAAAAGAAATCAGGGAGGGACTCCTGAGCAAATTAGTGGGTCAGATCGACAGTTTCTGGGATTGCTTATTGGTTTAAGAAATTGTAATGTATTTCTGTTTTTCAAATTTTAGTAAAAGGCAGTATGGGCTTGTAAATGGAGTATAGAAGGCAAACCCTGGGTTTTTGCCCCCACTGTATCAGTAATCAAAAGTATGACCTTGAATGTATCAAGCTCTTTGAGTTAAAGCATCCTCATCTGTAAAATGAAGATCTGAGACTAGATGATTTTCTGGGTCACATCTGGCTCTTCTAACATAGTGGTTAAGAACAAGGGCCCTGTAGTGATATAAATCTGGGTTGAAATCCTATTTTTCCCACTTGCTACCAATGTAACTTGAGCCTCATCTGTAAAATAGGAATGATATAGTAGTTTCTACTTATAGGACTATATGAAAGAATAAATGGGGAAATGCATACAAAGTACATGTTGCAGAGCTCCACACGTATATATGGTAAATAAGTGGGATATTATTTTGATAAGAAGAGGTTTGGGATACCTGGCAGAGAAGGGAATAGCATTGATTACTGTAAGAGAAGCAATAGGGTCTTTAATTTATGTTTCTCTGGACTAATGATTTTTTGAGTTGGTTTGCACAGTGGTCCTGGGCAGTGGAGCAGAAAATGTTGAGCAGGTTCCTTCTTTCAGGGAACTTGAGCATCTTTAAAAAGTTGGTCTATATATGATTTGTCTATATTGTGATTCAGCACTCCATGAGGATAGAAGCTGTTATAGTGAGAAGGCACTATGAGATTGTCTTTGTAAGAAAGATTTTCCTATGTGTATCATATTTTATATATCCTCTTAAGATTCCTGTGGATGATTAAGATATTGTTACTTTATAATTTTTTAATACTATTTTAGAGCTCATGAGTTTCTGAAGGAACAGAACCAGTAGGGTGATGATGAGGAACTCTGGAGCATCCTAATGGAGCATCATGATAATCCAAGAGAAATGGAGATAAAAGTCTGGTTCTGTCTGGTTCCACTCTTCTGGGAAAGAGGCGGGGATGTCAGTTCTGATTGGCATTTCTTTTTTTCCTCTTAGTAACTGCTAATCCCTTCCTGACTTCTTTGCATGTGATACACAGTTTATCTTTGTATTCTTTGAAACTAAGGATAGCTTCAGTGTTAAGACCATGAGGTTTAGTTTAGAAGAGATCTGGTTTGCATTTCAGCTCTACCCCTTACAAATTACGTGATCTGAAACATGTTTTTGTTAAGATTAAGGGAGAAAAGAATGAAAAGTGAAGCACTGCTGCACTCCATAAATATTACTTTCACCTTCTTTAATGCTTTATTGTTTAACATTAAAGAAGGGAGTATCTCCCTAAAAATGCACCAGCGTAAGCAAGATGATTTTATAGGGGCCAGTTCAACCTGTTTATCCTGGGTTCCTATTGTAGAATCAAAAATTTAAAAAAAAAAATGATTTGAGAATACCTTTCTTGCTTTTGTTGGGCATAGATAAGATATATGTCCTCTCCTCCTTAAAGAGCTTCAGCAGACGATCTATTTCTATTTGTTCTGAAGATTTATGATGATTTATAAAATTTAGATATATTTTTATTGCAAGGTCTGACAGTCAAGAAGCTAAAACGTTCAGCTTTATTGTATCATTTTTCATTTCCTTTTATCTTCTTACTGACTTTAATAATTTTTCAATGGTTGTATAAGCCTTGAGTTCTCAGCATCCTGGCACCACCATCAGTCATTGCATTGTCATATTATAATACACATTAAACCTTTAAGACAAGCAAAGGTGTGGATGCTATTCGTCTTACTCTTCAATAACTTCTTAGTGTGCAGCATAGGTCCCACGTACACAGATTTTTAACAGTTTTTTTTTCCCTGAGTATCTCAAAAGAGAAAAAAATGACAAAATAGTAGTTCATTCCTTCAAGTTCCCAGCTTAGCATGATGGTGATGATGGTAAAACCCCAGATGAGCTAAGAAAAGCTGGGAAGATGTACAGTCCCAAGAATCTACATTCAGATCTGCTCTGCTGCCTTCCTAGTTCCTATTTTTGGAGAACAGCTGGCATAGATTATTGACTGCTGAAGGGAAACAGACGCGAATGATTAGTAAGGGAGATGGTACTGAAAGAGTGAAACAACAGGCCACTGCACAGAGTAGCCGTACATGAGTGATATTAGACAAGGGCCCTCTCGTTACTTGTGGAAAGGATTGAAGTGAGGAATTCCTAAGGCGAAGGAGAACAGGGCGTTTTTTGTATTTGTTTTCCCCTCACTTTAAAAAAATTTTTTTTCTGTGCATTTGAAAAGGGTAAATACAAATTAAAGTTGTACAGATGTATGCTACATGTCTGAGTGCATAAGGGTTAGTGGGTTCTCTAGAGGGTCCTCTACACATCTGTTTAAAATAAGCAAAGTCTGTGGTCTTTCTTATTAAACCCCCTAAAAGTGTGTTCAAGAATTATTCTGGTGGATTAGTTTCATCAATTGTTTATTTCAGTATTAAATCCATAGATATGAAAATCCATAGATATCAATAGATTACCACTATTAAGGTTGTAAATCTAGATATAGTTTTAACATATACAAACATATATCATGTTCATTTGGTCCTCAGGCTCAGGAAAGTACAAACCATGAGTAAGGAAAAGAGTAGGTAGAAATAAAGGGATAGTATGAAGCTTTTATAAGTATTCAGTAATGTTTTTGCTTTTTGTAGTACAATATAGTAGAAAGCACATATAGTGTGTCTAATTTTGGAATTAGACATATTTGTGCACACTATATGTGCACAGATTAGATACACTAATTTGTGCTTACATACTGGTTCTTTTGTTTATTGGTGATATGGCACATCCTTTTCTCTTACTCATTTGTCAAATGACAATAATATTTAACTTGTTGATTGTTCTGGGGACTAAATTAGTTCTCTGTTTTTCCATAAGTATTCATTACACGTATGTTAAGGGACATGCACTTTTCTAAGTTTCTTTTTTTAATTCACTGGTTAACAAAACAGAAAAAAATCCTTGCATTTGTGGAGCTTATATTCTAGCAGGGGTTGTCAAACTATAACCCATCAATTGAATCTAGCTTACTGCCCCCCTTTTTTTAATAAATAAAGTTTTATTGGCATACACATATATCACTAACTTACATGTTGTTTATGGCAACTTTTGTGCTGCAACAACAGAGATGCATGGTTTGAATATGGCCTCCAAAGTTCATTCAGTGTAGACTTAATCCCCAAAGCAACAGTGTCAGGAGGTGGGATTTACTAAGAGGTGAGGAGATCATGAAGGCTCTATCCTCGTGAAAGACCCAGTGTTGTTTTGTGGGAATATGTTCCTTATCTAAAAATGAATTTGTCATAAACGTGTTTGGCCTCTTTCTTGCTCTCTTTTGGTTGAGCTCTCTTGCTCTTCGGCCTTCCACCATGGGATGATGCAATAAGAGCCCTCATCAGGGGAGGTCCTTTGTTTGTTGTTGGACTTCCCAACCTCCAGAATTGTAAGAAATACATATTTGTTCTTTATAAATGACCCAGTCTAAGGTATTCTGTTAGTAGCAACACAAAACAGACTAAGACAAGGCTATATTGCTTGCAAAGCCTAAAACATTTAC